TTGCTACATGTTATATGAGTCGCCCTTGGTGGACTAGTAGTTAGCGTGCTCGCCACTGGACCCGGGTTCAATCCTGACCGAGGTCGATGGATTTTTATATGTGATAAAAATCCGTAGCACAACTTCCTTCGGAGGGGAAGTAAAGCCGACGGTCCCATTTCGTAGATTTACGGCATGTAAAAGAACCTTACGAGAATGAAAAGATATGTTTAAGCAAAATTCAGCGGCCATTTCTCATCCACGTATCTCCTGATTAACTGCTAGATGGCTCTGGCAGTCAAATCAGGATTGAGTAGAAATTGTGCAGAGTCAGTGGGCTGGTCACTCACTACTCACAAACGCACACTTCAAGACCAAGAAACATCCGAAAAGGAGGCGGCGACAACCCACAACCGGGTTGTAGAGTTAAGAAACAACAACGTGTAATATGAAAATTTTACTTTTTTTTGTCAGCTGTGACGTCGATAAGTGACGCCTTGTTATAGGGACGGAAGCTCAAACGCCCACGAAATGAAACGATCTGTAGCCGCCACATTACAAACAAAGACCCTTCTACGTCAGGGGTAACTAGGTACTCGTTCCACGCAGCTTACGTTTGCATTTTGTCATAATCCCACGTAGATTATTAAGATTCTTTTAGAAAATGTATGTGTTACGATGCCATGTACATCTACTCTTCGACAAAAGTTCAACATCAGAGATGGGCTGGGCATGTAGTATGAGTGGGAGGCACAGAAAATTGTGGGGCACCAAGGAATAGATAGGACTGTACTATTAAAATGGAGGTGAGGTTTAAAATTTACGACGAAAAAGTAAAAGATGGTACGAAGGGTGGTGCTGGGATAATCCTTCGATTCCCATCACAGGCATTAACTTTTTTTTAGCTTAGCGACTGTCTGCTTCTAAAGAACATTACTGTGTCGAGTCAATTATCCTAACTGTTGCTGTCCATGTAACGAATTTATTGGTCGAGTGATCATTGCTTGAAAATTGTTTCAACTGCCATCATGACACAGCCATTTAAGATGGTAAAACATAAATACGGTTTACTCTAAACTATGCAACTGGTATTTGAAGATTAAATAAATGTCATTCAGCAATAAAAATGGACAAGAAATCTAGCAAATGACGTCAGTTGATAATGGGGTAGATTACCTTCCTTTTGGTTGACTTACCTCAGGTTAGGTTAGGTTAGGCTAATGATTCTTCTCAGAGGGTGATTCACAGAGGCATCATATTGCTTGACTACAAGTACATTAAAGATTGCGTGATTTTTGGGGTTAATATTAGATAACTTTGAAGATTGCTGTCTGCTGTCTGCTGTCTTCTGGGTTGTTGCGCCGTATAGTCTGGTAGATTTCCACCGTTTCAGGGGTCATACTGCTTCCGTCATCAGGTTGTACTTGACGAAAGTCCTCATCAATGTGTTGGTTATTTTATATTCGAAGTAGAACGGAAACCGTGATATTCGCATTTTAAAAATGCGTGCCATGACAGTCCATCTTCTTGTTTTGCAGAAGGGACTTTATACAAATAGTAATCGCCCCACATCGCAGAAGCTAATGATGCGGAATAATAGGCTTATGAGTGAAGGACATTTCTTATCAGAGCTCCCTTCGTCTGTCACGTCTAGTGGAGCGCATTGGAGAGAATTCCATGCTAATTCATCTGCACCAGAACTTCCATATTTACACACAGAAAACGTGAAACTGATCGTTGCTCATAGCATCAAACTAATATTTTTACATGAGATATAAGGCTAAAGTTGTTCATGTGTTCTTAAGCACCAATCAATTTCGAACTCCTTTAGCAAATGAAATTAAGTGGTCGGTGTGACGCTGTGACTGCTTTTCGTGACAATGAGTGGGTAGAATGCAGTTCAACCGCAGATACGTTTTAGAGGCGGCAAAAAAAATCCTTGCTCCGTGAGGTTGGTTAAACAAAGCCGATTATTTTCTGTAAAATATAAATTGCGTAAATGCTCAAAATATGTTTTTGTGCAAAACGCGTGTATAAATCTGACGATCCTCTCATGCGTGTAAACCGAACAGCGTAGCATTGTGAAATTGTGAAACATTTTATGTACTGATGGATTAACGCGTTCGCAGTTCTAAAGTACTTAGCCGTGGACTGACTGCGTTTCTCTGAAAGCGACGGCTACAGTGTTTGTAGTGTTTCTGTGTTTCAGATGTGCTTGTCGGAGGAAAGCGATGGAGCAGTTAATTCAATTGAGCAGGTTCACAGTGACAATGCGGGGCCATGCCCATGGATGTAACGCGTTCCTCGCAAAGCGACAAAGTCTTTGTCGCCTCGGTCAATTCCACACGACTGTCCCGTGGCGCATCGCGTCCACATATTCTGAAATTTCTGTTACGTTTTAAAGTAACTATATGGAGAGTAGTCCTCAAGAAGCTATTACGCCTTATGTACTCCAATTTCAGACACTGTAAATGGGAGAATGAATCCAGTAATATATATTAGGAATGAGGAATTGGAAATGTTTTTTATAATAATAAGTATTGTATAGTAAGCGAATAGCTTATCTAGAGACAATTACGTTACAGCTGTGTACTGTAAAAACAGAGTGTCAGGCGGACAAATCCTTCTTCGTAAATAATCTAACTAACAAATGTTAATCATGATTAACAATATCAGTCTTTATGTCTTAACTAGCATTTTATGTAATCTACTTATAGAGACTAACCTTCTGGAGAAGTGGCGTTTCTAAAATTAATAAGTTAACTAACTCCGTGTACCTTTTTGAAAAATGTGTTAGTGATCTAGCTGACCAAGAAATTCCCATCCGTTCTGTAATCCGAAATTGCACTGCCGTGTTCACAAAAGTCAGCAATTGGATCTTAACTAGAGCTACTTGAGTTCAATCTGCACCGTCGCATCATATTTGTTTAAAATCCATAGGCCTCCCAAGTGGTATCCATTTTCCAGGTTTTCTGATTGAAATTTTATATGTATTTCTTATCTGGTGTGTGCTACATGCCATGCCAATCTCAGTCTCTTTGATTTGATCGCTCCCGGCGTAGGTTAAATTCCCATTTATCCTGTTATTTCACTTATCTTAAGTCCGAACATTCTCCACAGTACTCGGTTCTCAAAGACCCTCAGCCTGTGTCTGTCCGTTATAGTGAAAGGTCAGGTTCTACACACGTATGGAAACAGCTAAATTATAAATCTATTATTTTTATATTTACGTTGCTAATTATGAAACGGAAAGCCACAATGTTTGGAAATACAAGTTAACAAGTAATTTTAATCTGCATCAACGTGAGTGTGGTGTTTTATTTGTTACTAGTTACTGCCTTTAATATCTACTTAAAATTTACCACAATTTTGACAGTTTTGTTATCTGTTGATTTTGACTGCTAATTCATCTGCACCAGAACTTCCACATTTACACACAGAAACACGCTGAGGAAAACGTAAAACTGATCGTTGCCCTTCGCATCAAACTAATATTTTCACATGAGATGTAAGACTAAAGTTGTTCGTGTGTTCTTAAGCACCAACCAATCTGATTTTCTGGGCCCAGGTTAGGGTAATTGACAGGCTTTTGTTTTCGCGGCGATTAACGTTCGATTCTCTGGACCCAATTTCGGACTCCTTTAGAAAATGGAATTAAGTGCTGGGTAGGACACTGTGACAATGAGTGGGTAGAACGCAGTTAAACTGCAGACTACCGTATTCTCAAGGTGTTTCAAGGCAGTTGATTTAGTCATTTGAGGCAACTCACTTTTTCCAGGATTTTGGTCTGCATTTGTAGTTTACATAAAATATCGATGAGGACATAAAAAAAAAAAATCCGTTCCAAACTAAGTGCGGTTCCCTGAAAGCGACAGTAACTGTTTGTAATTTCTCTGTGTTTCAGATGTGCTTGTCGGAGGGAAGCGATGGAGTAGTTAATTCAATTGAACAGGTTCACAGTGACAATGCGGAACCATGCCCATGGAATTAACGCGTTCGGCAAAGCCACAAAGTCTTCCTTGTCTCTGTCAATTCCACACGCCTGTCCCGTGGCGCATCGCGTCCACATATTCTGAAATTTCTGTTACGTTTTAAAGTAACTATTTTTTTTAAATTTCAAGTTCACTATGAATCTCTCAGTTGGTATTAACATTTCGGCAAAATACATTTTGAAATTTATGATTTACACCGTTGTTATACAAAGTACTTGTTTCAAACTGAAATCAGTTTGGCAGGTAATAAACAATTTAAAACTGGCAACAATATCAAAATAAACAGAGTTTTAGCTTCAGTATGTTTGATATCAACAACAAGCTTTGTACTGCATGTAGCTGGCAGGGAGGCAGTTCCATATTTCAGAAGCTCATTACAGGATCACTTTTCAAAGAGGTTTTGTTTCCAGCACTGTATAAAGTGGAGCCATGGTGAATTACGATAAACAGATGTAACTTCCCAACACGTTTATGAATTCCGCTTAAAAATAAATGATATAATCCGATTCCAGTTGCTAGTTTTTATTTTTATAGATTATTCTCGATGACGGGTTTTGTTTTAGAGCTAGAGCAAAATTATGTGACTATCGCGTGTGTTGCAAAGCGTTATAACAAAGGCCTCGAGGACAAATGTTAGTTCAAACACAGTGGATCTCAACATTTTATTAATTCGTGGGCCGGTAAAAGAGCAGTAACTTACCTGTCTTAAGACTGGATAACACAAAATATATTTACAAATTAAATTTTTCGGTTTGTCTTCTTGGTTGCAATGCCTTGTGGTCTTATAGGTAGACACCAATGTTTTGAAGAAACGTACTGTCTCCATTTTCAGGGCCGAAATTGGACTGCACGCGGGATGACGGAGGCTGTATGACCGCTGAAACGTTGGTAAACATCGACCAGACTACACAGCGCAACAACCCAGAAGACAGAAATGTTCATACTCTGATGACGGAGGCAGTATGACCTCTGAAACGTTGGTAAACATCGACCAGACTACACAGCGCAACAACCCAGACGACAGAAAGCTTCATACTCACTACTGTGAAAACCTCAAATCATACATCGTTAAGGAAATTTCTTTGTTTTGAACGTATTATTAATTATTAAATTCTCTTTTATCTTGTGTTTAGTTACATTAATTCATCTGCTAAAGAAATTTTTAAATTTGTTATGATCTGATCTGATATATTAAATTAAATTATTTATTGAAGTTTTAGATTCTCACGGCGGCGAGTACAAAGATGGCTGTCTCCTGGGTTTTAGCGCCATGTTGTCTGGTAGAAACTTACCGACTTATTAGAGATGTCTTCTAGGTGCAAAGTGCTTGCCGCATTCAACATCAGGGAGACGATCGAGAGAGCAGGTGCTTGCCGCATTCAACATCAGGGAGATGATCGAGATAGCAGAAACCTCTGAAACGTCGATAAACTTCTACCAGTCTACACAGAGCAACAACAACAAATTATTTATTGTTATTAATATTTATTCTTCTGAATTTATATGCAGGAGTCTGTTCTAGTTACAGTATCTTTGTAAAAATTGTAAATCTATTTGTTCTTGATGAACGTGTGTTCCTCGTATCACTAAGTTTACACTAAGCCACTCAAGTGAAACGCCAACAACAGGTAGTTCCATGGGACTCCACGTGATCGCTGCACGTTGCCGAAGAAAGTAACGTTACTTTCTTCTGCTTTCATGCTTCACAACCCTTAAAACTCATCGACTTTAACCTTGGGTGCCGAATCAGTTGCAAAATTCGTGTAAAAATAGTTGACTTATCTTTGATGGAATGTTGCTTCAAGCAGTCAGCTGAGATATTTTTCTTCAGCAGAATATGACAAAAGATTCATGGTTACGCGATCGAAGCTTTGAAAGACGCAGGAAGAATTTCAGTCACTTGTTTTATGATATTTTAGTCTGCTTCCCAGTTCTGTCACATTATTAAGATTCGTTATTTTTTATAAGCTGCACCTTCATTAACATTAAGCCGTTATACTAAATTATTTTCTCTTCACTTCTTCGTTTCATAGTGTTTTAATAATATAATATGTCCCACTCTAAAATCTTGTCCTCATCTGTCATTCCTTGTCTCTAAACCTTTCACATTCTGTAGTAGTATATAAGTCAGATATTTATTTACCACGCCTCCACGGAGCCACTGAATTAAAGAATAAATAAATAACTAAGAAATTATAAACGTATTTGGTCAATATTATAATCTTACTAGTTCTTCCTTTTCCACCTTCAAGATCATATTTCACACCCAAACAAAATACCTTTCCCCTCCTTTTATCCCTTTGAAACTCCAATGCGGTATTCCTATTCGCTGCGATTCTACGTATCCCTAAAATATTCCGTACAAAAATCTGCTCTGAATTACGCCGGTCTCTTTCCTTATATCATGAAGTGTGATAAAGTACAAACGAATTCACCAGAGGGTATGACATTGCAGGCTAGCGCCGCTATCTCCAAATTCCAGAAACTTTCTGTCTGAGCTGATCGAGTCGAAGATGAGGCTTCCGCAGTGCGAGCCAACTCCCAGCCGTGCTACTAAAAGGTTGCTCTTGAAATCCCAGGGCGAACAGAACTTCCCCCTGAGCATTGTGAGGGAAGTGGGCGCTGACCTAGACCTGAGGACCTTGTCGCACAAGATTGTGATTGAATGGTGGGAGTCTGTCGCTCGTTTCCAAGGTAACATCTCCTTTGCTGTTCTAGTTATCAGACCGTAAAAAGAAGTGAGTTTTCCGGAGGCTATATATATGTCTGGTATCGTACGGTTGATTCTAAAAGGACGAATAGTTAGGCACTTTAATAAGACTCGAACGGGGGATACGCTATCAGAGGACTTCTACTTACACAGGACTGCTCAAGCAGAGAAACGTAGATCCAGCCTACAAAATGCTAGGAACGGGATTTGAACCCCGTGCTCGAGCAGTCTGGGGCTATCAGAGATTACCTGATCATTGCTATTAGGGTCAATCAATAATTCAACTCCTGCTATTAGGGTCAATCAATAATTCAACTAGATAAACTCCGTGAAGCAGAGTCCTTCTTGAAACTAATAGTCGCTCAGCTGGTCAATAAACCCCCTCCCCTTTACCCTATTCGCTGGCGTGTGTACTGGGTCCATTTCGGAACTAACTGAATTTAGTCCACACTCGTAATCAATCATTTAAGAAACTGCATCAAAGCTTCAGAGATCGTAATGGGTTTTAAGCACAAGGTCGCCTGAGTTTGCTGAACTTTAATGATTATATATCTCACAGGAAAAACAGACATTCTGTGTAGTTTCTGATTATTTTAAGCAACGTATAAAATATCAGACTTTGTATATATTAATGAAACATGCTTTGCCAAGGAATTTTATAAAATTTGTTTCTCGCATTGGTCCATTTACGATGGTGAACGTGGTCTCGCTGTCGTCAAGTTACTTAATTCGTTCATGTTCTGCTGTGACCGCAGATCTAAGTAAATATGGTGTGAGGGTGTGGACATTATTGATTTGATTCAGAACAGGGTCTAGTGGAGGGTTATTGCAACTATTCGTCTTTCCGCTCCATAAAGAGCGGGAAATTTGAATTTCTTGACGAAGTGAACGACCATCGACGTGTAATGAGGAATCTTCACGTTGGACTTAGTTACGATGATTTTTACATAAGCTCGGAATATAAGAATGAAATATTTGATCAAATCAATAGTTTTTAATACGTAAAGAGTAATTTATTTTTGTTGTGCACTTAACGTTATTTGTTTTCTTCACCCGATTGAAAATTTTAGATTTCTCTTTAGAAATAACAGACAACTAATACATCGTATTCACACAGCCAGAACATTCTAACATCGTTGGATCTCTTAAGGTGAAAGGAAAGGAAAGCTGTCCCGCTATACTCCATGTAGGCGCTTGTGGGGAGAGCATGTATACCTCCTGCTTATTCTTATTTCATTTCTTGCTTTTGGTAAGGTCGACCTAAAACCTGTTTTTGTTTCCGCCCCAACGTATGATATTTCGCAAAGAGAATAAATCTCCCTTTAGCAGGATTTGAGGTTTTCACGGCGCTGAGTTCGAAGAAGGCTGCCACGTGGCTTGAAGCGTCGTCTAGTCTGGTACAAACCTCCCTTTGTGGATAATTCCTCGCTATTCATATTTATTTACTTTATAGATTTATGGAAACGTTTAATATAGGTTTTATTTTGCTGTACGTTGAAGTTCTTTGAATATACAAGTTGTATTAAAACATGAAAACGTTTACTTTTTACAGTTTATGTGTGTAACCTTTTTTCCTTGATTTATTTGTCCCTTTATGTATTTTCGCTGAACTGGACTATTTTTTGCGATTATCCACAAAGAGATAACGGTATGAGGTTCTTCTGTAATCAGTTTGTTGAATCGAATTTGTGTCGGCTTTGGTCTGCTCACAGCCCACGACCAGACATTTCAATGTATGTTACAGAAACAAAAGAGTTCCTTGAATTTTAAAATGGTAGAACGTTTCAGTATAAATATTTTCCATTCTACTGAGCTGAGACTTGTTTTCGCCTGAAACATTTCGTTTAGACTAAACGCCAAGTTGTAGTGTCGGAGAAGTTGCCGCACCGCCACGGCGAACATTTCTCTTATTCTAGAAGACTTTCTACCTCCTTTCCGAACCGTGGGGTCAATTTGTAAGAAAGAAATATTTATCGGACTGTAATTATAGCTTCAATGTTAATTAAGAATTACACCTGTAAAGCCAAGTGGTAACTGTACGTATCACCTACTTAGAAGTAAATAAGTCTATTTTTAATTTGTTTTCGTGTGATTTTCGGTGTAAACAGGGGCTATTTCCTTAAACAGTATGAATCTATTGATCTCTATAATGGTTTAAGTGTAGTGTTTTCTTCGCGGTACGTACTGAATTCTTAAATAATATTTAGATGAGCTACGGCTTCAAAGGGTTAAGTGGTATTTTATTAGATTTTACTGTGGCTACTTAAATTCTTATTTGCATCAGCTGTGTTAAGGTCATAAAATGTTCTGAATCTCTTATTAAGAGCACAGTTACTTATTATTTATGCGATTGGAAGGCGAGATTCCCGGAAAAAATTTCTCTTTGTCTTCGCGTTAAGATAGGATCCGATCCTTACCATCCCGTGCCTAGTGGTCCTGGGAAGATGGACTGGCAAAACATGAAGATGATCTTCACTTAGACTTGCGAAGTTCTCTAGAATTCGAATGACTTAACTTCCACTTCTTTGTAGCGTAATCGTAGTGCCAAGGTCACTTTACATATTTCCTTCAGCGGTTAATATCGCACTATTAAACTATATAAAGATCGATTACTCGTTGATGCATGAAGAAGAAAGTGCAAAACAATTTGTGATGCGACTCTTAAAACGTGACTCCCCCTCTTATTATAAAAGAGTTATCTGAATTACTGCCAGTATTATTCAATTGGCAAACAAGATGGAGGAGAAAGAGATGGGTGGACGTGTAACACGCATGGAGAGTTGAGAAATGCGTGCAAAATTTTAGTCCTCAAACGAGGGAAGAGATTCTTAGAGTGACTGAAGCGCGGATAGGAGTTTCATATTAAAATGCATCTTAAATAAATTAGTTATAATTTTAGGAATAATTAAGATGATAATTAGGATGGTTCATGCAGTTTCTGAAGCCGACAAATGAATCAGCATAGATTAAGTAATGCGAAGAAAGTTAAAGTCAACCAGAAACATTTTGCTGTGAAAGAATCAGGACCTTTGTGGACCGTTGGACTAAATGCATTTAAATATAAGCCTATTATATAATAAATAAGAGCCCTTTACTCTGTGTGGTCATTTTATCAGTACGCATATTATGATTTTAATTGTTTACGTTATGTAATTTATTTCAGCCTGGTCATAAAGAGACATGAATATTTATGAAGAATATTCACATTAATAAGCAGATGGAGTTATTCGTTTCTATGGCGTGAATAGACTGAACAGAAATTCACAAAATATTTTATTTTTTCTAAAGTTGTTTGTTGTCTGAAACGTTCTAAATAGCAATAATGTTGTGGGGTAGGACGAGACGGAAGGATGAATACTGTTGCTGCCGTAACATAAGACGGTCACTTGAAACGCTTCCTGTTCTGGAAGGGAACAAAGCAAAGTTCCAGGACTGCTCTCAATAAATCCCCAAAGAGGAAAGTATCTCAGTAAAGAGAAGCGATAACCCAGCGTGCTTTGTCCAACACGTGTTTCGATTCACCGCTGTTTGTCCAAAGCACGATTTTTCTGAAAAGAGAAACATTTCACTTACAGTATAATGATTAATATTTACTCTTTTCCTGACATTGTGTAAATGTTTCGAAATTAAAATTAAATATTTCGTATTTTCGTTTACTAATTATGAAGTAATTATATTCTATGTGGTATGTGATGAGCTAATTAGCCCTCTGGGACAGAGTCTTCTTGAGGAAAATGTTCGCCTCCTACGGAAAATGAATTGCATTATCGTCTTCACAACAGCCCGCTGCTAGATCCTATCCTTGGCCACTTAAATTTATTTTCTGATGTACTCTGCCCTTAAGATTCATTTTAATCTTTTCCTGCTACATACAGCCATGTCTCCCAAGACGTTTCTTTTCGTTAGAATTTCTTATTAAAATATTGTGTGTATTTGTTACGTTCCCATGCGTGCTACATGTCCTGCCAATTTTATCTTCCATTATTTGATCAGGGGATGAGTAAAAGGTATTAGGCTTCACAGCATGCGAAGTTATTCACTCTCCTTTGCTACTAATTTTGTTGCAGGTCGTGGTACCATTTCCGCGTCTTATATTTTTCAGATTATCTCATTTGACATGTTTTGGGTTTTGAATTACTTAAATCGAACCTGCTTTCTTAGAGGTCGAAATATCACGTCCTTCTGTTTATGAGGTCGTAACTTCCTGTCTCCTACCACAGGCTTTTGTGACATTTCGTATAACTCCAAGTATTTTGTGATGTGTTATTAGACCCGTCCGAATTCTCAAGCTCCAATGCCCCTGGTTATATTTACCAATAAAATTATGATATTTTAGCGACTTATTCCTATAGAAGTAGTTTAAAAATAAAATACGGTACATATCTAAAAAGCAAGAATCATATCACGTACCATATAAACTCTGTGTTCATGTTTGTTTTAGGTCCTTTGGTTTTTGTAATCCTGAATTTTAGTTTGATACGTCGTTTAGGCGAATGACCTATTTCACCTTCCACGAATCGTTGTTTTGTTATAGAGCAGATAGTTATTGTGATGAAAGGCAGCTTTCTAAACACACCTCCATGACAACATTGTTTAACTTGACAGTGCACGTCTTAGAGATGGCTTTTGTCGAAAGATTCTCAGAATTAAAACGTCGAAGTTAAGTTTACTGGTAGTGGAAATGTTGTCCATATTTTCGCACATTTTTAATGTGGATTGTCTTCTCCGACAAAAGAATTATATAGCAGGTTCGTTCTTCGGAAATAGACAGTTCTCCAGCTGCTAAAGAATGTCCCCGCTTTAAGTAGGAACAAAAGAGGTATTAGTGTTTACACTGCATTTTGAGCCAATTTAATTCAGTCCACATTTACGAACACTTTTTAATAATCTTAATGTTACCATCCCATGAACGCCTGGGTCACCAAAATGGCCCCTCTCCTTCATGTCCTTGAACTAAAATGTTTTATACGTTTCTTAACTCCTCAATGTGTGCTACATGTTCCGCTCATCTCATCTTCCCTAATTTAATGAACCTAATAATGTGTGGTAAAGAAAGCAAATTAATACGGGATTTTAAATGGAAATGGCACTGGTCCTGTTATTCCACTTAATATTAAACTGCTTCGAAATGACCACTTTGACAAATAAATACGTATTTCAGTTCTACGAAGTTGTTACCTGTAATCACTTGTTTTTCGATTCTGGAACAAATTAATAAATATACTAGGTTTGCCTCAAATTCAAAGCTCTGCTATTTGTTAACAGTTGAATTATGACAACTTATATCTGGTCACTTGATTCAGTCAACAAGCTGGTATTTTGTTATATGTTTCAGTTATGTTGTGTTGAAGTAATGGTAGAGGGATTTGTGTGTCAATATTTTCCATTCTGGGGAAATGTGACTTGTGTTTTGTTTACACTAGACGCCGGACAACAGCGTGAGTCGCTTACTGTCTTCTGCCTTCTTCCTTTGTTGTCGTCATCGTATCTAATGGAGCAGACTAAATAAAGATGTCGATCCTTTTAATGTACTACATAACCATTGTTCATAAAATTCTAGACCTAGCTTTTATATCCAATGTTCTTGATTCTGGCTTCCACGAAACGAATCTACTGCGCGTTCATATCCTCGTATGAGCTAGCACTCTTCGCCCTTTGTCTGCGCACGTTGGTCCTCCGTCAACAATACATTATTTTCCATTTACGCCCTCCTGACTGTAACTTCCGACAGTTAACATTTATTACATTTGAGTTACGGCCATAAAAGACAATTTTCATTGTATCACTAACATCTGAAATACTGTCCTCCTATGTTTCGTAGTAATTCCTAGCTTGTCTGTACTTTATTAATAATATGTCAGTCCTTTATTCACAGATTCGTTTCTGTATAAATTTGTACTCATATTTTGTTATTTATGTGTTAAAAAATTACTTAAGTTCAAAATTTTCAGCATGGAAGCCCGCAAAATCACAGTCAATTTTTTGTTTTGTTTTTGTTTTAGTCATCCTTCTTTCATGCAGCTAGTATTAGTATAAAATAATCAGTAGGATTTGAGGTAATCACGGGGGTGAGATTAAACATGACAAATCTTCTGGGTTTGTTGCGCCGTGTAGTCTAATAAAAGTTTACCGACTTTTCAGAAGTTCTTACTGCCTCCATCAATAGGACCTCTGAAATGTCGGTGAACTTCTACCAGACTACACGGCTCTGCAACCCAGAAGACAGCTATCTTTATATAATAATCTTTTACACTTGGTCGTAATCTGGAACAAATTTGGTGTTCAAATTTTTTAATTATGGTATTCAGGACATCCAGTGTCTTGCTTTGTTCAAACTTATAGTTCCAGCATACATGACTCTCGTCGAGTCTCAACCCTATATAAGGTGAGGGCAGATTTATTGAAATGCGTTTAGCATCATGCCATTAGAGGAAAAGTTTGCGTTTAGGTTTCCGTGTTAACTATACAGATACCTAACCACATGGAGCAGTCATAGAAAAGTGGTGTAGTCTTTCAGGTGGTCAAATAGTTCCTCGTCATTTGTGGATCTTGAATGTTCATTACCGTGTTCACAAGAGCCTGCCTGTAAATTGTTTCCATAACTGGTTGAATACATTTCATAACCTCGTAACTTATTTCTTTAAGATCCATTTTAAACGCATAATATTCTCCCATCTACTCCTAGGTCTATGTAGTAATGTTTCAATGAATGTTATTAAAATCTTTTTTTATGAATTTACCATCACTATCATGATATATATCCGATCCATCTCATCTGTGTTAATTCGAGTACCTTGATAATATATAGCCAGGAGTAATTGCAAATTATGAAATTTCTTATTTCGTATTTTCTTATATCCTCTTGTTTCTTTCTCAGTCCAAATATTCTGCTCAGGACTCGGTTCGGAAACACTCTGTATGACTACTTTCTTTCGTGTGATAGACCAAGATGACATAAAGTTTATTACCTGTGTTATGACACTATATACTTATAATATAAAAGAAAAAACTTTGCAATATAAATTAATTTGTCTCTTTTTAGTCAAGGCAAACTGTATAGCGTATTGCTTTGTGACAGAATTTGTGTTGTATTATTATAAAATTCCGACGTTAAGTATTCCTACAATATTTTTAAGTGTCTACAGAACTTAACTTTATTACAAGTAAGATCAGACTACTGTACAATTCTTCGGCTTTATATGTACGCATAAGGATTTAAGTTACTTGTTACAGAATTTTTTCAGCTGTATCTTTCATGAGGTGATACGAAGTAATAAATTACTGGCTCACAAATCAATGGATTCTAGTGCCAGTCCTACGAGAATGTGATCCTTCCACGAGCTTAGAATATATGGCCTTTAGAGGCTGGAAAATGTAAGTTGTCTTCCTTTAAGTCAGCTCACTGTGGTAAACAGCAATTCCATTTTAGTCAACTGACATGATACAAAATCGCTTTATGATATAAACATCATGCTAACATAGTATGATTTTGAATACCAGCAAAAATACACCCAAATGATGGTAATGTAATTTTCACAATTTGATTGGGTTCCATCATACAGGACATGATTTAATGAACTTGGTTCAAGCAGTGTATGTATGTTCATTTTAGTATCAGGAAACTTAATTACCTGCCACTTTGCTACGTTAAAATGTTGTGGAAACAAGCTAACTCAACATTAATTTTGACATCCTGTAATACCGCGTCGTCAGCGGTCCTCTTAACCTCAACTTACGTCCAACATTTAAAATCGATGTGATTAAAACTCAGAGTAAAACGGGTATATAAAACATGCAGAACTTCCTAATACTATCTCCAGTAGACAACATGTACACACGTTCGGCCACAACTAACATGTACACCGTTTTGTGTGAGTTCTTATAATGTGGAGCGATCACGGAAAACTCATCACTTAAAATATCTATTTTCGTGTTTGAAGCTCCGTTACTTTTACGCATGTGCCCCCTGTAAATCTTCATGATGTGATGCCTAAGAAAGGCGCAAACTTACCTTTTACACATTGGGTGCTTTTGAATGATGACCTTCATGTTATATTTGTATTTTAATCAGTAAAAGAATAAATGGAAATTTTTACAAGCTTTCGTTATTTACCTGAATCAGCATTGACCTTTAAATTCAGAAAACTAAGTTGTCAGTACTGTAATTTTTTTCTGAAGAACAGGAAGGAAGATGTTTGCATTTATAAGTTTCTGGTTTTACAAATTGTCATAACACATTTCAACCAACAATCTTATCAGTATCTCTCCAGCTTTTATCTCCTTAATCTAGTTCTGTAATCTTGCAGTTGTTTATCACATTTCTGTTACAAGGCAAATGAACAGAAAGGTACAGCCTGTTCTTGTGTCATTGACATTGCCTAGCTTATTATTCAAACATGTGGAAGTGGATACCAAAGAAAGGCACAGAGAACAGTACAACCCACATAAATCAATCTGTGAGTAGTCGTATCTTGTGTGTTTTGTCAAAATGTTTGAATCCCAACTAATTCAGATACACTGAAACTGTATATACATGTATTATTTAGTAATGATTCTGACGTGTTCACTCAAGTTTGTTCACAGAGAATTGTTCTATAGTTCCTCAGTTCCACCCAAAGCCAGAATTTAATTTGTTCTCTGATGATTTCGCTTGTAATCTGATTATGTCACATTTAATTATTAATAAAATTTTCAAGTGTGAATTATTTCTCTGTGGAACAGAATTTTACAAGAAACTGTATTTGTAAATTGTAGTTATTAGTTTATACTTTTCTTAACTATGCCTTGGCGTGATCCTCATGAAGGCTTGTTGGTTATTTAAGAACTAGTATAAAAAATAGAATTTCTTAGGTCTGAAAAATAATAATACTAGTTAATTTCACAAAAAAGTTTATTTTTTCTGGGGGGGTGATGAGTCAACAATCTGTCAAGTTGTATCTGAAATTGATTTAGTACTATCAAAAACTTACAGCAAATAATTTTGCAGGAGACTATTTGCTTGTAGCTAATTTTTGTTATTTTGTAATCTTTATCTCTCATTTCTCAATAGTAATTATTAAATAAATAAATAATAAGCAAATGTATATCCACTAATATTATGATAAAGAATAACTAAAGTGGATGTGATGTTAATTTATGAAATATATTAAATACTTTAAGTTTGAAATAGGGAAGAAAATAAATTGTTGGGGAAATACAGTTCATACAAAACATTTCAGTAATGTAGTGTACGTCTAGTATGGAGCAGACTGCAAACAATGCAGTTTTGTTGTAAGTTGGCTGTTGGTAATATCTATGCTTGAGACCTTTTCATTTGTGACTTCCATTGACAGGGAGTGAGATGTGCTCCTTTGTTCTGGATCTCTGTGAGATGAAACTGTGGAGTTGTGCACTAATATTTGAGGGAACGACTCTTTCTTTTTTCAATAGACAGGTAGTTCCCAGCAACAAGGAGGGAGTAATCCCTTTGTAATGATTCGGTCATCAACTACCCACCACTAGTATGATTAGATTTTAACATTCTTGCTCCATATTCAAGAGTTCCCAGGTTCAAATCTTGGTCTGCAAGCCATAGAGTTCCCAGGTTCAAATCTTGGTCTGGAAACCAAATATCATTGCTTATATATTTCGTGGTTTTCCCCATTCTCTTTAATCTTATGCCAGGGTGGTATCATAAATTAGGGCACAATGACTTCCTTCCATATCCTTACTAATCCAGTACTCATTAATCAACTGATCATTTGATGTTACATAGTTTCAGCTACTGACATTAGCATTGAAATAAGCTACAAATAAATGATTAGTATTTTAGTAAAATTATCTTCCTCAGTAGAATAGTATAAAATTTATTTTCATTCTGCGGATTCTTCATAGCACAAGGATATGGAACATGTCATAATATGAATATCAGCACTTAGTACAGATACAAATATAAATACACAGTTGTCACAGTTATTTACATAAATGTATGAAGAATTTAAGGATTTCCAATTGAAGTAAATTCCTCTACAGAGTAGGAGTAACATAAAACATAATCTTTCATTGCTGGCTTAAATATGTTTAGTATCATGATTTAAAGTTTTAAGGTTAAATAGAAGGGAAATTAACAACGTGATTACAACTTGATTCCTGTGTAGTAAGCAAATTATGAATATTTTTATTGATTATTGTATTTCCAAGTTCAAGAAAAGTCAACTGGAATTGTACTCAAGTTGCTTGATAAATATATTTGTTTCTAGTCTATTCTATTTATTATTTGGTTAGTTTATAACCATGCATCAGCTACTGTGGTTAACCAGCATTGTATGAGATGTGGTAGGGTGATTGTGGATAATGAGTCAGGGGAGGGACTGAATAAAATTATGCATATCTCAATAAGAATAGCTATTCCCTGTCAGGTTTCAAACATTGTGTCTCATGTCAGTATGTTACCACTCAACTCAAGGTGCAACCAAGATCAGAACTCTCAAATTTGTCCCAATTTTGGAGTCCATGTATAGGAAGGCTTCGGTATTGTGTTTTGTCTCTTGAGAAACACAGAGAAGTGAAAATATGGTGGAGATTCAAAGTATATGGTATTATTCAGGTCATAACTTTCCTCACTTAGCAGATCACTTCCACAAAAGAGCAATCTGGTCCATTACCAACACCAATCTGGATGAACCACCTGCCAACCCCTGAGATTCTTCCACCCAGATGTGACATATTAGTAATAAACACTCCCGGGTGTGGTGCAGGTTTCCGGCAGAGTGCTTTTGGGACATACCTTGATACTGGAACATACTTCTAGTCAGGTAATATTATGCAAAGAAGTTTTTGGATTTTGAATTCACTGATGTGGTTCACTTCTTAGTCTCACAAGCATAGGAGAGACTGATATCCTCTATAACAGAGTGTCCTTGAGAAGCTAATGGTTCCCTAGCTAAGTAAAGTAAGTAAGCCTCTGTGTCCAGATCAGCTCTGGGCCCACCCAGCCTCCTACCTAATGGGTGGCAGGGTCCATTCTCCATAGTAAAGTGTGGCCAGGGTGTGACACCACTTGCCCCTATTTAGTGCTGAGGTTAAGAATGGGTAGGAGCTGTACTGTCTTTCCCCCTTAGCGCCTACATGGTGTACAGCAGGAAAGCTTTACTTTTTACTTTACTGATGTAGTTCACTACTTGGTTTGAAAAGCTTAGGAGAGAATGATATCTTGTCCTTCTTGAGAAGCTAAAGGTTCCTTAGTTAATATAAATATATCTTTCCTTTTATGGAACCTAAAGTTTTGTTACATGTACCATGTTCACAAGATCCTGCCAGTGGACACTGGCCTGTACGAATTTGTAAGGATATACTGTATACTTGAGCAGCCTCAGTACTCATGCAGAGTGATGTCACAAGCCAAAACTCATTTTGGATTTTAACACCATGTGAACTTGTAGATATATATCAGTGTTCAGGAGGAACATACTACCTCCATATTCAGAGTTTATATTTATATCTGGGGTAATGCACACTTAACCAGATTTGGATGACCTTAGTTACAGCTCATGTCACTGCAAGGCATATGGGTTTGTGTTTGTATTTAACATAGGTCATCACAAATTGTTAAAATGTTATATATTCCAGCTGACAGTAGGAAGGGCTGTTACTCGGTCTTTCATATTAAACAGTGATAGTCTGTGAGCCTCCCAGCTGATCTACTTTTTTAGACAATGAATTTATCACACAATGATGGTTGATGAAAGAAATATTTGTAGGTCCCATTTTGTCCTTTCCTATGAATATCTGCTGTTCTGTAGTACACTATCATAAAATATGTCTTCTTTTCATTAGATGGTTGTGAAAAGGAAGCTACCCTTTGTGCAAGACTGCATAATTGCTTTATTAAAACTTTTTATGTAAGTTTTGCAATTGGGGTTGAATAGTAGATGAATATTGCAATAAATTAAACTACTTAAAAGTTCTGTTCATGTAGTTTCATCTATCAAAATAGCTTGTTACAATAATTTTCTCAGTTATTGTAATTTCTTAAAGTACTGGAATTGCCATAATGTTTAAGGAAATCTTTTAGAACTATCAGAATGGTTTGTTGCATTTAGCAGGTCTTTCTCAATTTGTTCTGTTGTATTTACTGTATTATCAGTGTTGTACTTTGATGACACAGGAAGTAAGCACCTCAGAAACATCAGTCATTTTCTACCAGACTGCAGCAGAAAATCCCAGAAGACAGTCAGCTTCAGATGTGTAAATAAGAAGGAACAATTTAAGGTAGCATTAAAAATATACTTAATTACACACTCATATTAATCTGTCAATGAATTTATGTTGTTTACAAATAAGTGATAAATTTTCTTTTGGGTGTATGGGTAGATCTATTTGTAACTTATCATTTTTTTAGGTGAACCCTTTGTTTGTATTATGTGAAATGTATATAATAGTATCAATTGTGCTTTATAATATGGATTGTATTATTATTATTAAGACTTTGTCCACATCCTATTGTCATCTGACTATCTTATGGATCCATGGAATGTAATAAAATATGTATGTATATCCATTCCTGTGTGGGATTTGAGGTTGGGATTGACAATTTGTCACGTGTAAGTTTAGTAGTCAATACCGATCATAGGCTGTCGGCGAGGGTGAAATGCAACTTGCTACCAATAGATCCTCATAGTAGTTTACATCACTCTTAGATGGCAGAACAATTTGCTAGTCGGTGTTACCAATTCATAACATTGAATTAGTTTCGTTGGTATTTCTGGAAAATGGTAAATTTGTAAGAGTATGATTTTTACGTTGCATGTAAAGCACCTATAGCCCAAAGAAGGATCTAAGGAATATAAATTAACTCTTCTTAAAGCTACACAAGACAAAAGACTTGTGAAGCCGGAACAGACAATCATACCTATCCCATGACGTGTAGAAGAAGAAGAAGAAGCAGCGGCATAGTTGGTATTACTGGTAAAATCAGTTGATCAATACAAGATGGATGTGATTCCTTGATAGTGGTAAGTTTCTAATTTTTACGATGAATGTAAAGTACTTTTAGCTCAAAGAAGGATCTGAAGAATGAATTGAATGGAATAGAATTTAACTGTTATTGGTTAATAAAACTAGTCTAGCCAGTAAAAAAAACGGTTGAGACTTTATGGGTGATGTAAATTCTTCTGAGTAGGAGTGAGATAGGAGATACTCTTTTATCGCTGGCTTAAACATTTTTATATCGTAATTTAAACTTTTCATTAGTAAGTGGAAGATTATTGAATTCCAGTATAGTAAACTTCTTTTTGATATTTGCTGAGGTTAGAATTTGACACATGAAAGTTGTATCTGCATGTTCTTATGTTGTGGATATCTGAATTTGTTTGAAATTTTTCCATGTTATCCACTACAAATGATAATAGTGAGAGCAAGAATTCACTGAGAATTGATCATTGGGGGCAAATCATTGATATATATGAGAAAATGCAGAGGACCAAGTATTGAACCTTGATGCACTCCATTATTTACAACTCCCCAATTTGAGTAGGTGTTATCATTTGCATCTGATGATTTTATTTCTACTTGTTGCTTTGTGTTATGAATGTATAATTTAAACCAGTTGCCAGCTATATTTTGAATTCCATAATAATTAGTTTTGATGGTAATAATTCATGATTTACACAATGAAATGCTTTAGCAAGATCACAAGATGCCAGTAAACTGTAACTCTTAATTCATGTTGATGATTCAGCATATTAATAGCAATGAAGTTACCCATATGCCTGCCATTATTCTAATGATTTTCTTTTGAATGTAAAATTTTTTGCTGTCTGCTGAGTTTCCCCAGAAAAATTGCCGCTGGGTCATGACACTGGATCCACTCTCCCCTTTTTAACAACAGTCAAAAGGGGGAGGAGGTTTCCAGTTCAATGTGTCACTGGTCCACTTGGCCAATGCCCCTGAAAAATGTTGTAACACCCACTTAAGGAAAACAAACTCAAGGACACAGCAATTAAGGAAAACAAACTTGAGGACACAGCGGCATAAAATTATAAACAAAAACCGTTTACTTTCTTAATACAGGTTAACAAACTCAAAACATCATTACAACGCATACGTGTCACACAGTGTCGTTAATTACGCTACTTCTAACAAAGAGACCAACGAACAAAACATATAAGGGAAAAAAACCATGACTTGGCTCAACTCTCGTTAACAACTCCTATTCATCTCTCCAGCCATGACCACCCTGAGGGTCCAGGGAAAACACAAAACATGGTAGTTGCCCCGTCCACAAACACAACAAAATCAATACCAATTCGGATGGGCAACCGCAATGTCAAACAACACCAAAAGCCAAATACAAACTGAGTTCACCTCGAAGGGGGGTGCCCAGCCAGAGAGAACGTTACCGAAAGAGTAGTAGCTATAGCTCTTCTCAACCTGAGTACCTACATAGCACCTAATGGGTTAGCTTTAGCTTTTTAAATGTACGACAAATATAAAATTAGGGGCCATAGTGTAACAAAACTTTCTTGATAAGTATTCATTGTTTACAGGGCAGCTATGCATCTGACTGCTGCATTTTGCAGGAGAAATGCTTTTGTTGTTTTCTTAATCTATTATGTTTTGTTAAAGGGCTCTTTTAACAACTTTTGAAATGTCGCTGAAAATTATTGTTAATATCCTATTTGAAGTCATGAGAATATCTCAGTTAAATGAAATCATCATAATTATAATTATTTTCCAATTGAATGTTTGATCCAAATGTATGAATAAGCTGAGTAAACTACAACATGGTGTGTTGCTAGAGTGGATATTCTTTGAACACTGCTCCTGTCCATGAAAGTCTAGTTATTCTTTCTGCTGGTCCATGTTGCATTAAAGTGAGAATTGTGAAATATCTGGACAAATCATGTGATCTTGCTAGATCATTTTATAAGGAATATTGGGTAATTCAGGAAATAAAAATGAGTATGGACTGGACAACTAGGATGTGATTTTTAGAAGAGGCTTTCTTGGTGATGAGGTTCCCATTCTTTTGAATCTGTTGTGTTTCTTATGCCATCAAATTTTGGCCTAATCTGAATTCATTCTGTACATGTGATGTAAAACATTTATTTATTTAGTTAAGATCTCAGATACTTTCAAAATCGAGGCGGTAATTCATTTCTGTGTGAAATTTGTCAAGTAACTTTACTGAATCATGTCTCTGTTGAACAGCATGTCGCAGGGAAGAAGCATGCAAAAAAATTAGCTACAGGAGCTCTTCATTTTGAAAGTTTGTGGAAGATGATTAGGAAATTTGAGGGAGGAAAAACAGACAATATATACATGACCTTTCATAACAAATTGAGATGCAAACTGTGTTTGCAAAAATCTAGATGTCAATGATGTTGTTTCTCATGTAGGAGGAAGTACTCATCAACAGAAGTTGGAAGAATTAAAAGAGACAAAAAAATAAAGGTAAAGATGCACATGTATCAGAGAAATGCATGTCATATGATGTTCATAATATTTGGAATGAGATTTACAAAGCTGAAAATGGAAAGTGGTCCAACATTTGTTATATTTCTGGACAGACATATCGTTGTGAACCTTGTAATATAATATTGTCAATTGATAAAGTTCTGGCTCATGTTATGGATGCATCACATCAAGAAGCAATCAGAGAACCAAAAAATGTACGTACGAATGAAACGTTGATGCAAATTGCAGCTGACATATGGCAAAAAATACACGCTGCAGATCGTACACATGAAGTCTGCTTCAAAATTGATACTTGCACTGTCATTTACTGTACTTTTTGTTGTGTCAAAGTCCCTGCTTCAATTGACAATGTGGTTGATCACATTCGTGGAAAAAATCACATGGCCACTGTTACCAAAACCTTGATATCATCACAGCATTCATGTGTAATGAAACAAGGAAACTGTTCGGATGAGGGAAAGTCACCCAGTCCCAAACCTACAAAAAACCAGACCTTGACAGGTAGACGACTGAGTGAGTCTGCTCCATCAAAGGACTTGTTAAATTCAAAAAGTTCTCAACCCCAAATATGTAAAACTTCATATGATGTACAAGAGGCACTTGTGAATGCTCTAATGCCAAATCCAAAGGGCATTTCATGTCAGAGCACTTCCATGCTTAAAGAAAAATCTGTTTCATTTATCTGTGTAATATGTGACAGTAAATTTGAATCAGAGGAGTTATGGTGTCAACACACTTGCAGCAGAGGACACAGGATTCAAGCTGGCAATCTCCTTACTGAAGGAAAGAATCTGGTCTCTCATAAATGCTTCGGATGTGGAGCTATGGTATATTGCATTCAGTCTGACTTTGCAAAACACAACTGTTTGAAGGTGGAAAATTTTGTACCATCAAACAACATACTCGGTGAAATTGCTGGGAATGATCAGCAGATAAATGAAAGCAATGCAACAGAATCATTCCATAAAGGAAACGTGAAATGGAAAGAGCAAGATGAAATAACTGATAATGTTCCAAGGATAATAGTACATGGTAAGAACTATGATTTACGTCTTTTTTATTCATTTTGTGAAACTTCTGGATAGTGGACCATGAGTATCACTGACTGTTTGGAGCCAAGTCCTACTTGAGAAGCTTATAGTTGCTTAGCTGATGAATAAATTAAATTGTCCACCTTTTATGAAATGCAAACAGAATTTTATTGGAGAGTCTTAAGGAAAGAGACCACCTGAATTATTTAGGGATGATGGCAAGACAGTATTAAAATAGATCTTGAAGAAATATGGTTGGAGGCTGTGGGCTGGTGAAGGACTAGTGATGGGCTTTTGTGCATTCCGTAAAAGGTAAGGAGTTTCTTGACTAGCTTGAGTGATAGTGTCTTAAAAACTGTTCTGCTTGATGGTGTTAGCCGTGTGTTGTGGTCTGTGCAATTTAAATTTTCAGTTTAGGTGCTTAAGTTGGTAAAAAAATAGGGTAAATGGACAGAGTTTAGGTGCTTAAGTTGGTAAAAAAAATAGGGTAAAATTAGTATCTGTGAAGTATGTTAATATTTTTAAGCTCTTTATATAGGCATTTTTATCAATTGTTTTATGATACTGAGCACTAATTATTTATATATCTGCCTCAATTCTCAATTTTTGAGGAGAAAGTAAGAGATTATTTTTTCACCACATAATTGAATCTCCTCGACTGTGACATGGTGGTTATTTTTGTGTGTGCTGCAGTCTTACTTTTGCTTCTATTCTACCTCTACCTATCAGCAGAGTGATGGATCTGATTCTGTTCTAAAGCAGTCTTTGCCTATCTCTGTATTCAACATTTTTATGGCTCTGTAAGTCGCCAGTATCATTCAATTAAAATAGATATTGTCTTCCTCTGTAGTGGAACAAGTCAACTTACTGTTGCTGCTCCAACATTCAGTATTCATTGCTGTCCAGGATTAAAATAATAAAAATGTTAATTGGATAAGTGCCAAGTATTCAGAAATTACATTAATGCACTTTACAGCGTACAGGAGTAATTATTGTTACTTTCCATAGGTTATCCCAAGCATTTTGGGCTGGAGCGACTGTTTAACTTCTTTAAAGATTTTGGCTCAGTGTCTTTCATTGTGGTTACTGATGGATCAGCTATAATTGAATTCACAGAAAAGTAAGTAGTTTTTACCATTTAAATACATTGTCGAGGAGAATACGTGCCTGCTATGCGGACACACATCCTTTGTACTGTGTGCAATCATGACATTGGTTCCTCTTAGTCTGCTGCGACAGTGAGTGAAGTTTACCACTAGGAACATTTCCAGTATCTTGTGTAATGTAGGTAAATGAACTTCACTCAGTGATATTGCTGGGATCTCACTATCACCACGGCCGATTGTCTGGGAAGCTGACAAACAACACATCTTCATATTCACCGCTGTGAGAACCTCAAGTCTTACAAACAACACATTGTTTATGAGTGGAAGAAAAGGCTGTACCCTGATATAGCATGCAGGTGTTCTCCCTTTATATACTGCCACTGTTAGTGCAATCAGTCAGTTACAAATTGCTTTAATTTATTAACCCTTGAAGCAGTTAAGACTGTTCTGAAAGTGTATGTCACTGCTTCATCAATTCAGAAAGCCATAATATTTTTTTAGGAAGAAGTTATTATCAAAGAATGTGGCAGTTCAAACAAGACTTAGTGAAATCTAGGTATGCAGCAGTTGGCAATTTGAACAAAAATGTACATCATGTTATTTGACGATTGATTCAATTTATTATGGTTAGTTAATAAAAAAATTTATGTAGACCTCCATACATTCTTGTCGAAGTGTCATGTTTAAATATTATGAATTTTCATTTCAGGGAAATAATGAGCTATTGTATTCAGGAGAATGAAATTTGGTTGCCATAATCTTGAAATAAATTCTTATTATAACAGTAATGTATTTTGAAGAGTAAAATTTTGCAGTCCCTATGCTTCATTGTCTTGGTATGTACTTTTAGGAATTTCAATTTTTCTGGATGATGTGGGTGTCGAGCATCATCTTTTTATATTGCTCTCTTTAAGACCCCTATCTTCCCCACCAAAATAGTAAATTAATAGGCATTATAATGTAAAGCATTTATTTGTTGTTGTGTTAACAATTTATAAATCAGCAGCTTTGTCTGTGTCCACATAAGGAGCTACTTTCCATTTGGTTGGCATATGTTTGCTAATTCCATTTTTTGCCAGCTTTATTAATTATTATTAGTTCCCCTTTAAGACCCATTACTTTATTATTGAATGGTTAATGATGATTCATTGCTCCACATTATGTATGTAACCATTCTGCTTAATCTTGAAAATGTTGGTTTTATTTACAACTGTCACTTCAGTGGACTTATTAGTAGCTCATTTTTCATATTATGTGGAAAGCTTACAGGTTTATCCCATCTGTCTGTGTTCATTTCACTTCAGTAGCTATAAAACCATATGACCGATTTTCATGAAGGATATGCCATTCAAATTACTATTGACATTTGAAATTCAAACCTTTATTGATAAAACATCGTAGGTGTATGACATTTGAACAGGGAATAACAGTAAGTAACTTTTACATTTTCGCTGTAGAATTTTCATTATTTGTTTTGTTGAAAATCATAATAAAATAATATTAAATCATGTGAAATACACATTTATCTGCAGTCATTGCTATGTTTTCATTATTGAAGAAGACTGTCCCTGTGCAAATATGTTGGAAGCCATGACTGGCAAAGACATTTTAAGTTCCATTCTGAGTTTTATAAAGAAATTTTATCTAAATTGGCAGACCTTAGATGCCACTGATGCCTCTTTCTTGAATTAGTGGACTAGATGACGAAAGTCACAACAAAACTTCAGCTGATTGATGTTTGTGTACGTGCACATGTGTGAGAATTCTTTCGTTCCTTTTTCATGTGTATGTATGTGATCCCTTTTTATTGTTACAGTGCATCTGTAGAAAGGGCTTTAGCAAGACCATTGTTTATTGGAGAAGCTGCATTGACTGTGAAATCTTTAACTAATTTTGTTCATCAAGGTAAGTTTATTATTATACGAGTATTAGTGGAATTGACAAGCTTGAACACACATTGACTAGACTTCCAAAGCCCTATATTTCAGAATGTTATTTTTATAATTAAGGTTTATTGTTAGTATTATATATTTAGCTAGAACTTTTACTTATACAGGTGAGTCAAAAGTATGTTTACAAATGCTGTGTGCGTGTTCCTGGACCAATAATAAGAACAAATTATCTTATGAACATGTGGTCGCTAATGCCTCTTCAAAATAATAGCAAAATATAAGTTTCAATGTATGCATTTGTTGCCAAGTATAAGGACAGGGATGTTTCTTTATAACAGATGCTCAAAGGTTGTTCCTCCATTCTCCACACATGCCCTAGGACGACGTACGCAAGACTGACAGATTCGTTTGCACACTCCAGGGTTTCCTCGAATTATCTGGCATGCATTCTGCACACGTTCCCATATGTCGTCATCATTGTTTGTGGGTGTTGCATAAACGACGGATTTCAAGTGACCCCACAGATAAAAGTCCAATGGAGTCAGGTCCGGTGACCTCGGTGGCAATGCTACTGGGCCACCATGTACTACTGTTCATTGATATGTTCTCTGATGCGACGGGAGAATGTGCTGAGCCTCTTCTGCCACACATAAACAATGTGTTGGTTGTCAGCTTCCCAGACAATTGGCCTTGGCCATAGTGAGATCCCAGCAATATCATTGAGTGAAGTTCATTTACCTACATTACACAAGATACTGCAAATGTTCCTAGTGGTAAAAAAAAGACGTAAATCATAGTTCTTGCCATGTACTATTATCCTTGGAACATTATCAGTTATTTCATCTTGCTCTTTCCATTTCACGTTTTCTCTATGAAATGATTCTGTTGCATTGCTTCCATTTATCTGCTGATCATTCCCAGCAATTTCACCGAGTATGTTGTTTGATGGTACACCATTTTCCACCTTCAAACAGTTGTGTTTTGCAAAGTCAGACTGAATGCAATATACCATAGCTCCACATCCGAAGCATTTATGAGAGACCAGATTCTTTCCTTCAGTAAGGAGATTGCCAGCTTGAATCCTGTGTCCTCTGCTGCAAGTGTGTTGACACCATAACTCCTCTGATTCAAATTTACTGTCACATATTACACAGATAAATGAAACAGATTTTTCTTTAAGCATGGAAGTGCTCTGACATGAAATGCCCTTTGGATTTGGCATTAGAGCATTCACAAGTGCCTCTTGTACATCATATGAAGTTTTACATATTTGGGGTTGAGAACTTTTTGAATTTAACAAGTCCTTTGATGGAGCAGACTCACTCAGTCGTCTACCTGTCAAGGTCTGGTTTTTTGTAGGTTTGGGACTGGGTGACTTTCCCTCATCCGAACAGTTTCCTTGTTTCATTACACATGAATGCTGTGATGATATCAAGGTTTTGGTAACAGTGGCCATGTGATTTTTTCCACGAATGTGATCAACCACATTGTCAATTGAAGCAGGGACTTTGACACAACAAAAAGTACAGTAAATGACAGTGCAAGTATCAATTTTGAAGCAGACTTCATGTGTACGATCTGCAGCGTGTATTTTTTGCCATATGTCAGCTGCAATTTGCATCAACGTTTCATTCGTACGTACATTTTTTGGTTCTCTGATTGCTTCTTGATGTGATGCATCCATAACATGAGCCAGAACTTTATCAATTGACAATATTATATTACAAGGTTCACAACGATATGTCTGTCCAGAAATATAACAAATGTTGGACCACTTTCCATTTTCAGCTTTGTAAATCTCATTCCAAATATTATGAACATCATATGACATGCATTTCTCTGATACATGTGCATCTTTACCTTTATTTTTTGTCTTTTTTAATTCTTCCAACTTCTGTTGATGAGTACTTCCTCCTACATGAGAAACAACATCACTGACATCTAGATTTTTGCAACACAGTTTGCATCTAAATTTGTTATGAAAGGTCATGTATATATTGTCTGTTTTTCCTCCCTCAAATATTCTAATCATCTTCCACAAACTTTCAAAATGAAGAGCTCCTGTAGCTAATTTTTTTGCATGCTTCTTCCCTGCGACATGCTGTTCAACGGAGACATGATTCAGTAAAGTTACTTGACAAATTTCACACAGAAATGAATTACCGCCTCGACTCAGAATATTTTGGAATCCAGCTCTTTTATATGCTGGCTTCCAT